CTTGAAACGAAATTCTATTATTAGAGCTTTTTTTTCAATAACATGTTTAATAGAATTTGCATACATACCTTGTTACAAGCTGGGGTTGGGTTTTCACAAGTTGGTGGGCAAGCAGTGCCACACTCATTCCAAACTTCATTCTTTCCGCAACCCGCCATTGTTGCTGTTTTAATTTATTAAACATTATTATAACATACGAATTACACACAATCTTTTCTATAAGACTATATTCCTTGTTACAAATCATAACAAGTGTAACATAACACAATTTTTTTAATTATTACACTATATATATTATATTATATACAATGTCGAAACTTTCAAAATGTATATAATTGACATTGGTCTACGAAACATATGTTTTAAATTTGCATTACAAGCCCAGATAAAAAAGTTGTAAAGAGTGACCTTTACAATTTTCTTCGCAATTCCCACAAATTGCAATTTTTCAAAAAATTTTGTACACGTCATCTAACAAACTAATCACTCTAACTTCTCAAAAAAACTCAAGTCGTTTGGCCGAATTTTAGAAACGTTACTCTGAATTGTATCTTGAATAACTTCTGAATTATGCATTGTAAAAAAAATTATTTCGACAAAGGTTACATCGTATCAAGAGGGACATCACGTGGTATACACGACTTCTTTATAAGTGGAGGTGTTTAGGAGATTTGAAGGTCAACTTAGTTTTTTTAAATGGAATGCCTTATTCTTTTACGGCAGTTCGAAAGCTCGTTAATTTACAAGTAGAAAAGTATTAAACATTATTTGTCCTAAAGCTAATAATTAACGAGATATTAACGAAAGTTTGACCCGCATAAGGTCGCGTTGATAGATCATGGCCGCCTCGATCACCAGACCTGTCACCATTGGATCATTTTCTCTGGGGTACATTAAAATAAAGTGTATCGTGAACCACCAACAACGGTAGAGGATATGCAAGAACAAATTCGTGCAGCATGTGCCACGCTTGCTTCGGGGACAATTCACGGGGACATATGCTCCGCATATGGATATAGCATACATATATCGCTGCTTGACATTGATAGTGATATAACGCAAAAAATGTAAATTTTACTGGAAAAACAGTTTAAAATTTGCATTTGACTACTACATATTTGTTCGCTGCTCTCTGGTATGAAACTAATGAATTTAGGAATGTACTGTTTCAAATAATAAAAATATCGTATCTGTGGAATACATCTGTGCAAAAAATTCAAAATCGACGTTTTTTGAGTTACGCCACTTTCAACGCCAACCAGTGATATAATATAATGTTTTAAATTATGTCTAATTGCATAACGAAATATCTAGAAATGTTATAGATATCTATAATACCCAAGGTTCAGAAATAAAATTAAAAGTTTATTCTGTGAACAAAGTGAACCACCAGAAATATACATTCGGTAATTAAAAAACGTTAAAAAATACATGCGTTTGGAAATGTAGCTACTTACTGGCAGAGAAGATTGCTAAGATGGCAAACAAAGTAAGAAGAAGACGGGACATGATGATCGTATGTTAGTCGTTGGATCCTTTGACTCTGATGAGATTCAAAGAAGTCTGCCTTTATATAGTCCGAAATCGCTTGTTTGTGTTTTCACCTTGTTTGCAATTGATTTAAGAGAGCGTAAACAATACCGCGTAAATGACGGAATATAAAAATGGAAAAACATCTCGTTTTAATTTTGCTAACATCAGATGAGATTAACATATTTCGTTACCTTTTATACTCATTAACTCATCTAATTAAATGTAATTAATATTATCTATTCGTAATATATAATACGTAACTCATTATTAGATAAAATTTGCCTTCTCTTTCAGAACTATTTAAAGTTAAAAGTATTTAAATATTATTTAAATTTATTTAATTTATTATTTTAAAGTTAAAAGTATTTAAATATTATTTTAATTTATTTGATTTATTATTTTAATTTAAATAGTAGAAAAGATATATAACAAAAGTACAAAAAGTGCAAGAAGTGGTATAGTTTGGAATAAATATCATAGATCACCAAACATGTTTGAATATCTTCTTGAAAATGGATCGTTATAATTATAAATTTTTAATCGAAACATATATCGTATAAGTTGTTAAATTTTAATTAAACTGTACGTAAATATAGTTAATTTACGTTACTTTATTAATACCTGCATATAGTCTCATTCCCTATTATTTAACTCTAACTGATTTAATAGCATCGCCTTATAAGGTATAAAAAGTCATTAAACTATTAATTATAAACATTTTTTATATCTACTACAGTTTTAAAGATATGAAGGGAAATATGGTAACACTTATTTTCATCCAAGGGTTGTTTTCACCCCGAAGAACCGAAAAGGGACCAAAAAAAATTGCCAGATACATACTACTCTTGAGGTTCCCTATAAACCAACAAAGTTTCAAAAAAATCAGAATTTTTCGGATTACCGAAGTTCCCTTGAAAATAAGGAAATATTTGATGGTATAACAGTCCGAATACGCATCCACTATAACCACAGCCCTATCTTTATTTTTAATGAAATAAAATAAACAATTGGTCGCTAATGGAGACGTGCTCTCTAGTGGGAACATTTACCTTAATATGTGGGAAAGTTGTAGAAATCAAGAGTGAATCAAAGAGACGGACTTTAGATTGCATTGGTCATCACACATATCTAAATTACTCTGTTATTACATCACGCTGATTCCAAGAAAGGAACGCGTTGTGTTAACAATTATCCACAGCGACCGAACGGAACGATTAATTTTCCTATGCATCAACGGCAGAATTTGTATAATTAAGGAGTCCTCGCGGTGCTTTGCTTCATCAAATAGCATTTCCATCGGTAAATAATTATTCTACGAAAAGAATCAAAACGACAAATCTTGTTCAGGACCTACCAGTATACAAGTAAAATTAATTTTTTACAAAAAGAATTCTCTTGAATATTTTCAACCCTCTAATTTGTAACATTACGTTTGTTAGATTTGCGTAGCAATAAAATTTCAAAAATCTTAATCTCGTCAAAAATTTTTATTATCACTTTTATTAATTTGTGCCGTGTTTTATATTTTTACCACAGTTGCCTTTTCATTTGTTCAAACACTTCTTTCGAGCTTTCATGTTTTCCACATCCTGTATTATGCGTAGCAAGTTCTCAATCATGCGTAAGTACGGGTCTCTGATAAGTAGGTGAAATGTAGTTGTCAAAATTGAACGTGATCTGTCTCATTTCTTTTTTACAAAAAATTCCAAGAATAACTCCAATAACCAAGAGTGTGAAACGTCACATTTTCGCGTCTAATCCACTTGTCGGCGCAACAAGGTATCGTGTAATACGATAGTTGAACAGTTAGTGTAACATGTCACGAACACCCTTGCTTATGATGCCCAGTAAATTAATGGTTTCGAAATATTCTGCGCTTTGAGAACCACACAGCTTGTAAAGTACACAGATTTGATAAATTTGCCGTTCAAATAGCATAATTGCTATATTACGCGTATATTTTCTCATAGAAACGGCTGTAAATGTAGTTAATTTCATATAAACTTCCATGCTCTAGAATTACACCTATATGTATATTATATCTGAAGCGTTCTATAGATACAATAATTAATTACGTAGCCCATGAAAAAAATAAAAAGTGCTATATTTATACACCACGAAATTTTAAAAAATTTTAAAAATAAAAATACACAAAATGTTACTAAGTATCGTTGTACTATTTAGAATGTATGTATGTACATTGCTGTTCATATGTATTAGTATCATATCGTCACCTTAATACTGCATTTATCATCTTAAACTTATTAGTGGAACAACCGAGTATATTACCGAGTTTTAGTAAACTTATTCACTTTTAATATTTCCAAATACTGATAATTTAAAATTGTCTACTATTAGCATACCACAGTTGCAAGGAAAATATGGCTTCTGATACACTTATTCAAAAAATGTCAATTTACGAAAATTTAATAGTTGCCTCTTTTTAGAACTGATAAATAGAATTATAAATGAGGTATGAATTATCTAGTGGTAGTATTAAAGTGGCGATATTTCAGTAAAAATATATGTGCTTCTTATACTAGGAGATTCCAAATTAAATGACATTTTTTAGATGTTAATAATTTTGTAATGATTGTTTAGATTTAGTTCACATTCAATAAATGTCCTAATGAACAGAAGGGTACATGAATGAAAATTATAAAGTCAAAGTCAAATTTATAAAGTCATTATTCATATTACTAACATACATATATATCTGTTATCATGTACACACGTGTACTCAGGTAACAATAAATCATTGTCACTGATTCATGCGGTTAAACCGCATTGTACTAACAATTTAGGCGTATTTATATTTTTACTTTATTGTGTAAAACTTTCATTAATATTGTAACACTTGATACAAACATAATCGGCAAACTTTCAGTTATACCCTCAAATATTTTCCTTCTTAGCCTTTAGCTCTATCTGTATTTACAACTAGTCACCCACTTTCACCATTACTCATACTGTACTCTTCACCTTCCAACTCTCCTCTCAACTCTCCTGCATAGTCACAACCCAAACTCCATTTTCCCAGAACCTTTAAATAGCCCTATTTTCTCCATTCCCGCATTCATTCTCCACTCTACCACACGCTCCTCATGCAACGTCAAAATCCCTGTCAAATAAAGTTCTGTTTCCCCAATATCTGCTCCTAGTTCCGAGGAATTGGAGCAAACCGGGCATCACACTTCCATAAAATTCTGTATCTTCATTATTCAAAAACGACGTATAAACTATTACACTTCTTATTTGTAAGATGCAACTACATCATGATGGGGTAACATTTTATTATGGAAAGGATCGTAAAAACAGCGATTTTCATGTGAATAAACTTTTTATTTCATTCGTATATAGGTGAAATACACAACTAAGTAGAAGGAGAAACAATTTTTAGGAAAATAATCAAACAATAAGGGAATCTTGCATGTATAAGTATGCTTTTAAATCATCTCAAGCAACATCTAGCAACATTCACTTGGCTTAACACACTCCCAATTCTTGTTTCTGAGCAGTCCAAGTTTGCACTGGCAGCCTTGCACGCAATGCTGAAAAAGAAATTATGTAGTCACGGTTTCATTACTCAATTACACGATTAAATAACTGTCCTTACGTAGCAATAAAATATAATTTCAGATTAAACCAGATACTTTATGAACACTTTTAATAAAGCTCTCTTGAAACGAAACTTTATTATTAGAGCTTTTTTTCAATAACGTGTTTAATAGAATTTACATACTAACCAGAGAACAAACTTTTGGGTTTGGATCTTCACAAGTTGGTGGGCAAGCAGTGCCACACTCAGTCCAAACTTCATTCTTTCCGCAACTCGCCATTGTTGCTGTTTTAATGTATTAAACATTATTATAACATACGAATTACACACAATCTATTCTATAAGATTATATTCCTTGTTACAAATCATAACAAGTGTAACATAACACAATTTTTTTAATTATTACACTATATATATTATATTATATACAATGTCGAAACTTTCAAAATGTATATAATTGACATTGGTCTACGAAACATATGTTTTAAATTTGCATTACAAGCCCAGATAAAAAAGTTGTAAAGAGTGACCTTTACAATTTTCTTCGCAATTCCCACAAATTGCAATTTTTCAAAAAATTTTGTACACGTCATCTAACAAACTAATCACTCTAACTTCTCAAAAAAACTCAAGTCGTTTGGCCGAATTTTAGAAACGTTACTCTGAATTGTATCTTGAATAACTTCTGAATTATGCATTGTAAAAAAAATTATTTCGACAAAGGTTACATCGTATCAAGAGGGACATCACGTGGTATACACGACTTCTTTATAAGTGGAGGTGTTTAGGAGATTTGAAGGTCAACTTAGTTTTTTTAAATGGAATGCCTTATTCTTTTACGGCAGTTCGAAAGCTCGTTAATTTACAAGTAGAAAAGTATTAAACATTATTTGTCCTAAAGCTAATAATTAACGAGATATTAACGAAAGTTTGACCCGCATAAGGTCGCGTTGATAGATCATGGCCGCCTCGATCACCAGACCTGTCACCATTGGATCATTTTCTCTGGGGTACATTAAAATAAAGTGTATCGTGAACCACCAACAACGGTAGAGGATATGCAAGAACAAATTCGTGCAGCATGTGCCACGCTTGCTTCGGGGACAATTCACGGGGACATATGCTCCGCATATGGATATAGCATACATATATCGCTGCTTGACATTGATAGTGATATAACGCAAAAAATGTAAATTTTACTGGAAAAACAGTTTAAAATTTGCATTTGACTACTACATATTTGTTCGCTGCTCTCTGGTATGAAACTAATGAATTTAGGAATGTACTGTTTCAAATAATAAAAATATCGTATCTGTGGAATACATCTGTGCAAAAAATTCAAAATCGACGTTTTTTGAGTTACGCCACTTTCAACGCCAACCAGTGATATAATATAATGTTTTAAATTATGTCTAATTGCATAACGAAATATCTAGAAATGTTATAGATATCTATAATACCCAAGGTTCAGAAATAAAATTAAAAGTTTATTCTGTGAACAAAGTGAACCACCAGAAATATACATTCGGTAATTAAAAAACGTTAAAAAATACATGCGTTTGGAAATGTAGCTACTTACTGGCAGAGAAGATTGCTAAGATGGCAAACAAAGTAAGAAGAAGACGGGACATGATGATCGTATGTTAGTCGTTGGATCCTTTGACTCTGATGAGATTCAAAGAAGTCTGCCTTTATATAGTCCGAAATCGCTTGTTTGTGTTTTCACCTTGTTTGCAATTGATTTAAGAGAGCGTAAACAATACCGCGTAAATGACGGAATATAAAAATGGAAAAACATCTCGTTTTAATTTTGCTAACATCAGATGAGATTAACGTATTTCGTTACCTTTCATACTCATTAACTCATATAATTAAATGTAATTAATATTATCTATTCGTAATATATAGTACATAACTCATTATTAGATAAAATTTGCCTTCTCTTTCAGAACTATTTAAAGTTAAAAGTATTTAAATATTATTTAAATTTATTTAATTTATTATTTTAAAGTTAAAAGTATTTAAATATTATTTTAATTTATTTGATTTATTATTTTAATTTAAATAGTAGAAAAGATATATAACAAAAGTACAAAAAGTGCAAGAAGTGGGATAGTTTGGAATAAATATCATAGATCACCAAACATGTATGAATACCTTCTTGAAAATGGATCGTTATAATTATAAATTTTTAATCGTAACATATATCGTATAAGTTGTTAGATTTTAATTAAACTGTACGTAAAAATAGTTAATTTACGTTACTTTGTTAATAACTGCATATAGTCTCATCCCCTATTATTTAACTCTAACTAATTTAATAGCATCGCCTTATAAGGTATAAAAAGTCATTAAACTTTTAATTATAAACATTTTTTATATCTACTACAGTTTTAAAGATATGAAGGGAAATATGGTAACACTTATTTTCATCCAAGGGTTGTTTCTACCCCGAAGAACCGAAAAGGGACCAAAAAAAATTGCCAGATACATACTTCTCTTGAGGTTCCCTATAAACCAACAAAGTTTCAAAAAAACCAGAATTTTTCGGATTACCGAAGTTCCCTTGAAAATAAGGAAATATTTGAGGGTATAAAAGTCCGAATACGCATCCACTATAACCACAGCCCTATCTTTATTTTCAATGAAATAAAATAAACAATTGGTCGCTAATAGAGACGTGCTCTCTAGTGGGAACATTTACCTTAATATGTGGGAAAGGTGTAGAAAACAAGAGTGAATCAAAGAGACGGACTTTAGATTGCATTGGTCATCACGCATATCTAAATTACTCTGTTATTACATCACGCTGATTCCAAGAAAGGAACGCGTTGTGTTAACAATTATCCACAGCGACCGAACGGAACGATTAATTTTCCTATGCATCAACGGCAGAATTTGTATAATTAAGGAGTCCTCGCGGTGCTTTGCTTCATCAAATAGCATTTCCATCGGTAAATAATTATTCTACGAAAAGAATCAAAACGACAAATCTTGTTCAGGACCTACCAGTATACAAGTAAAATTAATTTTTTACAAAAAGAATTCTCTTGAATATTTTCAACCCTCTAATTTGTAACATTACGTTTGTTAGATTTGCGTAGCAATAAAATTTCAAAAATCTTAATCTCGTCAAAAATTTTTATTATCACTTTTATTATTTTGAGCCTTGTTTTATATTTCTACCACAGTTGCCTTTTCATTTGTTCAAACATTTCTTTCGAGCTTTCATGTTCTCCACATCCTGTATTATGCGTAGCAAGTTCTCAATCATGCGTAAGTACGTGTCTCTGATAAGTAGGTGAAATGTAGTTGTCAAAATTGAACGTGATCTGTCTCATTTCTTTTTTACAAAAAATTCCAAGAATAACTCCAATAACCAAGAGTGTGAAACGTCACATTTTCGCGTCTAATCCACTTGTCGGCGCAACAAGGTATCGTGTAATACGATAGTTGAACAGTTAGTGTAACATGTCACGAACACCCTTGCTTATGATGCCCAGTAAATTAATGGTTTCGAAATATTCTGCGCTTTGAGAACCACACAGCTTGTAAAGTACACAGATTTGATAAATTTGCCGTTCAAATAGCATAATTGCTATATTACGCGTATATTTTCTCATAGAAACGGCTGTAAATGTAGTTAATTTCATATAAACTTCCATGCTCTAGAATTACACCTATATGTATATTATATCTGAAGCGTTCTATAGATACAATAATTAATTACGTAGCCCATGAAAAAAATAAAAAGTGCTATATTTATACACCACGAAATTTTAAAAAATTTTAAAAATAAAAATACACAAAATGTTACTAAGTATCGTTGTACTATTTAGAATGTATGTATGTACATTGCTGTTCATATGTATTAGTATCATATCGTCACCTTAATACTGCAATTAATCATCTTAAACTAATTAGTGGAACAACCGAGTATATTACCGAGTTTTAGTAAACTTATTCACTTTTAATATTTCCAAATACTGATAATTTAAAATTGTCTACTATTAGCATACCACAGTTGCAAGGAAAATATGGCTTCTGATACACTTATTCAAAAAATGTCAATTTACGAAAATTTAATAGTTGCCTCTTTTTAGAACTGATAAATAGAATTATAAATGAGGTATGAATTATCTAGTGGTAGTATTAAAGTGGCGATATTTCAGTAAAAATATATGTGCTTCTTATACTAGGAGATTCCAAATTAAATGACATTTTTTAGATGTTAATAATTTTGTAATGATTGTTTAGATTTAGTTCACATTCAATAAATGTCCTAATGAACAGAAGAGTACATGTATGAAAATTATAAAGTCAAAGTCAAATTTAGAAAGTCATAATTCATATTACTAACATACATATATACCTGTTATCATGTACACACGTGTACTCAGGTAACAATAAATCATTGTCACTGATTCATGCGGTTAAACCGCATTGTACTAACAATTTAGGCGTATTTATATTTTTACTTTATTGTGTAAAACTTTCATTAATATTGTAACACTTGATACAAACATAATCGGCAAACTTTCAGTTATACCCTCAAATATTTTCCTTCTTAGCCTTTAGCTCTATCTGTATTTACAACTAGTCACCCACTTTCACCATTACTCATACTGGACTCTTCACCTTCCAACTCTCCTCTCAACTCTCCTGCATAGTCACAACCCAAACTCCATTTTCCCAGAACCTTTAAATAGCCCTATTTTCTCCATTCCCGCATTCATTCTCCACTCTACCACACGCTCCTCATGCAACGTCAAAATCTCTGTCAAATAAAGTTCTGTTTCCCCAATATCTGCTCCTAGTTCCGAGGAATTGGAGCAAACCGGGCATCACACTTCCATAAAATTCTGTATCTTCATTATTCAAAAACGACGTATTAACTATTACACTTCTTATTTGTAAGATGCAACTACATCATGATAGGGTAACATTTTATTATGGAGAGGATCGTAAAAACAGCGATTTGCATGTGAATAAACTTTTTATTTCATTCCTATATAGGTGAAATACACAACTAAGTAGAAGGAGAAGTAATATTTAGGAAAATAATCAAACAATAAGGTAATCTTGCAGGTATAAGTATGCTTTTAAATCATCTCAAGCAACATCTAGCAACATTGACTTGGCTTAACACACTCCCAATTCTTGTTTCTGAGCAGTCCAGGTTTGCACTGGCAGCCTTGCACGCATTGCTGAAAAAGAAATTATGTACTCACGGTTTCATTACTCAATTACACGATAAAATAACTGTCCTTACGTAGCAATAAAATATAATTTCAGATTAAACCAGATACTTTATGAACACTTTTAATAAAGCTCTCTTGAAACGATACTTTATTAATAGAGCTTTTTTTCAATAACGTGTTTAATAGAATTTACATACTAACCAGAGTACAAATTTTTGGGTTTGGATCTCCACAAGTTGGTGGGCAAGCAGTGCCACACTCATTCCAAACTTCATTCTTTCCGCAACCCGCCA